GATCTGGTGATATGCTCGTACCAGATCGATTTTAGAAAAGATAGTCGTGCCCTTGAGCGATGCCGTGATGTCGTGTATGTGGGAAATGGGGTAGCTATCAAAGCGCGTAACTACGTTTAATGCTCGGTAGTCGCCGCAAGGTCTCCAACTAACCCCATCCTTTTTGCGCACCATGTGTAAAGGAGAGGCCCAAGGACTGTGAGAAGGACGAATAATACCAGCAGATAGTAAATTGTCAAACTCACGTTTAGCGAAAGCTAATTTGTCCGGTGCCAGTCGGCGTGGTCTTGCCGTGACTGGTGGTCCGCGGGTGACTATGTGGTGTACCACACGATTGGTCACCGATGAAATCTCCTCGAGTGGTTTAGTTATTCTGGGGAATTTCTCGAATAAGGCTAAAATTTAACGTCACGCGAATAAAAAGTTCCGAGGATTCGGTACGCGTACATCGGAGTCTATTATATTAATACTATTCTTATCGTTATCCGTCATGTCAAATATATATATTAAAAATTAATATGAAAATATATGACAGACGTGGATAGATAAAACTATAGACTCACCGAATTGCCTTCTTTGAAAGATTTGACCGAGGTTGAGGCGTGTTCAAATATTTGGCTCACCAAATGTAGCGTGGTGTCGAGTTGAGCTGAACTATGAACACCGCTACCAGACTACTTGCCAATTAACCAATAAGATTCCGAAAGGCCAAAAATCAGAAGGCAGATGATTGTAGTAGTCGTATATATTTGTTGGCGATCTCGTGGTATCGAAAGAATACCGAGATCGTGCCAAAGGAGTACAAGTGTGGTTACTGAGCGTAACCGGATTCGTACAAGTTCGAAGTCAACGGGAGAGTAAGTATAATGGCTGTTATTAGCACAGTTAAACAAACGAGCACAGTAAAACAGTCATTGGTACAATTGGTTATAATAATAATTGTTTTCATCGAACCAATCGCGTTCTGTTGACAAAAGTAGGTCACTACACCCTCAACAACATCGAACTACAACATGGCTCAGCAGCAGAAATGTTGCTACGAATGAGAGAACACACTGGTCAACGGATTTTTGATAAGGGTTAGTTTAAACAGCTTTTCTTGCCTAAGCTTCCTCAACAGGTGCAAGCATGGCTTGTCTCATTTCAAAACGACGCATATACGAACTGGATGCATCTGCCGACGGGGTTCCGAAGATCAACAGGACTGCCATCGGGTTGTATTCAAACGACAGGAAATGACGTCACAGACCTCTATCATACTCCGGTACATTACCTCAATATTCTCCATGAACATAGACTCTCATAAACCAAAATGTCATTGGTACGTTGTCTCTTTAATATGCCATTTTGTAACGTTTCTCAAGGACAATTTTATGCTGTATATATATATATATATATATATATATGCTTGGATTGTGCTCGTTGTTGCTCGTGCTTCTGTCTGCATGTGAAAACATCTCTTCTCTTCTAAACCTGGACACGTGTTTTGCATACAGAACAATCAAGTCGAAAATATGCAACTGCCTGATACTCGTTAGGGTAATCTTGAATTCGATTTGGATTTTCTACCTGGGCAATCGGATTCTCTAATTGCTTTGAGACTCATCATACCGCTGAGTAGGAATTCTACTCAACATATATTGGTTGTGAGAATATCCAACATCTGATACAGTACCTTCAGAAATGTGACTAGAATTCGACTCATTAACAACATCCTTGTCACATTCATTAGGGATACCGCTAGAGATAAGTCCATTGTGAAGACGAATTACATTTAATATAATGTCAGGATTTGAATCTTCTGAAATATTTCACCCAAATTTATTAAAAAATAATGGATCATTAGAAAAATCAGCATCTGTCAATACTATACCAAGTCTTTCACCACGATTTGATTTATTTAACATATTTTGTTCTGATTTATAAAACATTCCACCAGAAATGTGTGAATCATTAGGACAAACTATATCTGATACAATAACATGAGAAATCCAATAAGAAGTCGGTTGATTGAAAACTTTTGTCTCACAATGACTCCAAGTGTCATTTAAGTCTGGACTGCTATGTGGCTCTATACTGTTTTTCAAAGTTGTGGACAAAGATAAATGGTCATTAAATATACTCAACTTAATAGTATCAGAATTACAAAATTAATATCACTTACAGCGAAATAAAATAGTAGTCTATGTGTCCAATCTTAGCACATTTAAACCATTTAGAATTACAAAATATACAAGAATTACACGAGTGATATTTCCCACGGAGCAAACATTTACCAAACTTGTGCTCATCTTCATGACGTGCTTCGCAACCCCCCAGTGAACTACTTGCATTATCTTAAGTATGCATTGGATTGGGATGACGTAATGGAATTCTTGATGTCCTGATGAATCATTTTATGAAATTATTCTCCTTTAACGCATTCAAAAATTGTATGCTTTATATGGTCTAGTAATCGTTCTGTAGAATTACGGTCTAAGTACATTATTAATACTGTTCTAATAGTAGACCGAATCCTAAAATAGTGGATTTGCGATGATGTGACTACCTAATATATAAGATCATACATGGAAGTCAAATGCTTGTCTACACAAAATTATCGTATCGTGGCAAGTAGCAATAAAATATCTGAAGTTTCTAGAGAACACATCTACGCTAATAATGTATTTAAAGTGAATAAAGACAGGTTATAAAGAATGACCACGTCTGCGGGGCTGAGCAATGCCATCCGACTGAATAAATTAATTCTTCCCACCTTCCCCATTGTTGATTTTTTCGTGTTAATCGTTGAATATCCATTTTCCGATTTACTTCATGTTCAGCTTTGTGGACTGTGTGTTTGGACCAATACAACTACAGTTCCTTGAGAGTTGCATAAAGAAGCTAAATAGGCTCTTCTGGAAATGAGAAAGTTTCTAATAAATTGCGGGCTTTTCCGATGAATGTAAGGAAATGAGACACAGTATGAACATCCTCAACATCTTCCTTAGTCAATTCAAATTTCGAACCTTTCCAGATAATCCACAAAAGAATCAAAATCTGAACGTATGTCCAATTAATCTATCACAGGCTCCATAGAGACGCCATGATAACGATTAGAAGTATCCGAATCGCTAAGAAAACTAGGAACCCCAGAAACAACGCGATTTCGACCAAGAAGAACTAAATGAGCTCGAACGAACATATTGTATTTGGAATTCAAAATCAGACAGTCATTAAGTACAAAAAACCTTTATTTCATAATGTTATAACGCTCAGTTTTACTTTTTCTAATGTTATAACGGTTGGGTTTCCACGTGTACACGTATTGGACGTTAAATTACCTTAGATGAATATCTACACTAGATTCCCTCCCAGTGTCTATTCTACAGGACATCAACACAATTCAAATTAAGAACACGTGATTAGCCTGACCACAATGCAAATATATTTCCACACCAAAATCCGACACAATCCAACAACAATGGACAATCAATAATAAGTGAGTCCCAATAATAATAAGGATAAGGGAATATATAACATATCTGACCCTGCTTCGATTTGGGCACCCGGACAGTATCACAGCCCTCACACAAATCAATTGAGACTTGTGTGGCGCATATGTATTTGGTGTTAGAATAAATAAATAAATAACATATCTGACACACCTATCAGACTATCTACATGTATGACAACCAATCACTATCATTCTCGCCCACATATCACATACAAATACCACAGAGCAATAAATTTAATCAACGTGTATGTTAAGGGATTTTCTTAACCTATGGGATAAAGGCTATAAATATTCAGGCATTGACTAATCTATACTCACTTCTTATATATTTGGCAGATTCTATGACATCTTTGAGAGATATCTAGATCCAAAGAATGTAATTTACCACTTCTTTCGTGCTCTGTTGCGAAGTCAACACTGGAATAAACTTCTTTGAAATTATTTGTAACGCCTCCATAGAATTTACTTTCATTAAATTTTTTTTGTTTTTGTCACTAAAAATAACTCAACCTAATACCTTACCGTATTTTTATTGCACGACCGATGGACCAACAAAATCTTATCTTACATCTAAAGATACGTTAATTTCCACTATTCAGATCCACAACTCACATGATCATACCAGAATGTTTTTCATATACCCATGTGAATACTGCCGTGTAGCCTGATGAGGATCTGAATTAGAAAATATCCTTAGACGTCGTATTAATGAGTCTAAAGACATGTGACTAATAGAACTATATAAGTTTATCGTAAAATGACTGATCGATACTCTCCAAAGAAATTAAGCCCAGTTTCCCAAAAATTGATAAATAAGTTTTAGATTTTTCTGTCTTTTTCCAGGAAATTAACACAGATTATTTGATAGATGGATTTTTATGTGTAACAAACGGTTTAAACTTATTGAAGACCAATAAGTTTATCTCATGCTAGCATCCTATGAATACAGTGATCTTGAATGCTGTTAGAGATATGAGGGCAGTTATCACTTTTCGGTTGCCCACAGCGTGGAAGAGTTCTTCTGCAGATACCTAAAAAGGAGATTGGATCAGAGGTGGTCTTAGTGACCTGAGAGTGTGACCGCAGTTCCCAAAGGACAACTGATTGAGGTCGGTCACACACGACCCTTTTGTTAGTAATTTTCGTGTTAGCTCCGTACTTGTTGAGACCTTACCGCCCGAGACGGATATCCGTGGGATAAGGCGAGGTTTATAGTTCTGTTGGTTTGTCACGATAGGCAAGCCCGATTACCACGTCAAGGTAGCAGCAACGATCGGGCTAGCTTCCTAATTATCGGATATTGGAGAAATGTACTTCCTTGACAACAAATGCAGCTCATAACACACATCTGTTAATAATAATAAACTGACTCTATTGGTGACAGTTTCCTGACCATGTGTACTTAACCTATTTCATGCCCCCAAATGCCCTGGTATGGCCGAGAGTGGGAATAGTCCACTCTCCCTCTCGAAATGCTCTCACATGGCCATGCGTATACAGCCTCTGCCAGGGAAGTCCTACTCACTGCCTTCTCGTGGCGGGGTGTTCTTTACGAAAATGACAGGACGAAAAGCGAATGTCCAGCGCTATAACCGGATCCCAAATCAATGGTGCACATGGGATCCAGTATCCTGCGGGAACAAATGGCGTATGAACCAATCGTTGGTCACCGGCTACCATGGGACCGCATCTCCTTACGACGCTCCACTGCCTTGTGGATCAGACGTTCAGGTTGAAGGCTCGGGGTGTGGTCCCCTAAGAAAACCACCTGCTTCGGTTTGAGCACCCAGTATCACAGCCCTCACACAAATTAAGTAAGATTTGTGTGGCGCATATCTATTTCGTGCCTCCTTGTAGAAAATGTATGTGTTAAAATAAAATAATAGATAAAACCTATTTCATTAAGACCAACAAAATAATTTAAATATGCACTTTTTCCAAGTAAAGATAATCGAGATTTATCATTATTATTATCTGAGAAATATTCAAAAACCTTAATGAAGCATCAGAAATAAGATACAATAATCCATAGACAAACACGAGAGCTGATTGTAATCTATCCATATACAAAACAAAATTATTAATATACATTAATTGACTATACTACTTCTTTAGAAAAAAAGCTAATAAGAATACAAAATACAATATCACTGAATAATTTAGAAGACAAATAAGAACAGTATGAATTTGGTGTGTGTACTTACATACATATTTATATCACAGTATTGAAATGGGGGGGCCCGAACCAAACAACTTACATAAATGATATGATGATCTACGGAAAAGGATCATAAAAATTCAAAAATCCCTGCAGAATGGTGTTTTTTCTTCTTCTTTCCTATCAATAAGAAAGAGAAATTAACTCAACAACGAATCAATCAGTCAACTGTGAATAGATGAATTAATTGATTATTGATAAACTAGAAAATTATTATCATGATACATTCGTATTATTAATGAGAATGATTCGTAGAGAATAGAATTGGTATTATTGTACCAGTAATTAATACAATCACTTCAATTATATTTAAACGATGAACATGTGAAACAGAATCCATATAATCATTTGATTTTGGATAACTATACATAATAATTGATTCATGACTATTATCTACAGTGTACAATGCATGATGTCCTCGTGTATTATTTAATGATTCATTAAATAAATATAAATTGGGATTTCTTATTTGTTTGTTAAGATTTGTAGTATCATTGACAGTATTATTTAAATCAATGGTATTACCAGTATTTGATGAATTGATTAATTCTGGTAGAATATGTGTAGCAGCCACATAAAGAAATGTACCACCCGATAATAAAAGAGCTATCCCTGTTCTTGTTGAAGCTGTATCAATATCCTTTAAGAAGAAAAAAACAACAGAAGTAAATTTTAAAATGTAAATATACACGAGTTATTGATATAAGAATAGATTATATAATTGAAATGAATAATCTCCACAATCCTATACTGATAATTATCATGTGCTCACTAGTGACTAACTTCGTGAGGGAATTCTCGGAGTTCTAGTGAGAAGTCATGACCTGTGGAGCTAATTCATGTCGGGTAGAGACAGATATCTACTTCAATACAATGGAAGATTGTCACGAGATTTCGTGGATTGGCTGAGGTTAGATAATAACACCGTTTCACGACGGCTGGCTTAGTGGTCTAGTACGTTAAGCACTCGTATACGAGACTGAAGGCCCTCTGGGTTCAAATCCCGTCAGCGGGATCGTGGATGCACACTTCTGAAGAGCCCCACATTAGGACAAAAAGGCTATCCAGTGAATCCAAGTTTTCAATGGTGGTCTAACATCAATCGGTTCATGAATTCAATCAATAACTTAATAATCTCCACAACCTTATACTGATATATAATTGAACTTTGATTCATATTATTCCTTCCAAAACATATGTTGAAATTTTAATATTCGTCTCCTTTGATTCTTACTTGTTTCGATTATCAAACGGACTGTTTATTAAAATATTTCATGAATTCTCTTATAAAGTATCACAACTACTTAATTACATCTTTTCAACTTTAACGGATAATTATTATTTTGCTTATTACAGTTATATAACCTCTTTTGTCTAATAATATTGAATCAATCATTTGATATGTAACACGATTGTGTGATTATTATTATTTTATTATTATAAATCGTATATGAATATATATACATATACATACAAACAATGTTATGGCTATGCAAGTAGTAATATATAGTTGATCTAATTCATATGAGATTTGAGTATGAATGGTAAAACAGGAACTTGTGATTATTTATCTGGACAACAGGGGATTTGGTTGAAAATTAATTTGTTAAAAAAATCATGCGAACTTAGTATGATGATCTAACGATTGCGTGATGAATACTAAAGATTTATTGTAATTAAGTTATACAAAACAATTGTGAGACGTATAAAAATTAAGCAGAAGCATAAATAATAAAGAATAATTCGTGCAAAACACAATAATGGAACAGTGGCTCAATTTCGTGGATTAGTTGAAGTTAAACATTAACACCATTGGATACCGACTCAGTGATCTAAAAGTTAAGCGCTCGTGCGCGAAACCGATAGGTCCTGAGTACGAATCTCGCGCGGCGGGATTATGGATGCTCACTGTTAAGGAGACCCAGAGTACGATGTAACGGCTGTTCAGTGCTTCCATGGTGGTCTAGCTTCAATTGAACGCTATATTCGGTTCCTACGTTATTCTCGTAACTATCAAGCTAGAACTACACAGCGAGCTGAACAAGAGAGAAAAGGCGCAAAATATGTGCAAAGTACTTTACTCCAAAGGTTTGTTTTAGTACATAAAATATAGGGATTTTATAGTATTTTAGATGTCCTTGGGTTTCCCGAATATTTTGGAATGCTACTAAACATAGTAGCGCTGGTACGGCCGAGAGTGAGGAGAGTCCGCTTTCCCTCTCGAAATGCTCTCACATGGCCACGCGGATATAGGCTCTGCCAGGGAAGTCCTACTCACTGCCTTCTCGTCGCATTACTGTTGCTTACGAAATTGATAGGACGAAGAGCGAATGTCTGGCACTTTAACCGGGTTGATGGAAATGGAGAGTTCACATAGGGGGGCTGGAAAACCCTGATTCCAAACCCATGGTGCACATAGGCTCCAATATCCTGAAGGAACAAATGACGTATGAACCAATCGTTGGTCACCGGCTACCATCGGACTACATTTCCTTATTATGCTCCACTGTCTTGTGGATCAAACCTTTAGGTTGAAGGATCCGGGCGTGGCCCCCTAAGAAAACCACCTGCTTCTGTTTGAAACTCAGGTGGTATCACAGCCCTCGCGCAAACCAAATGAGATTTGTGTGGCGCATATGTAACTGGTGCCCCCTTGTACCAGTATTTATGTGTTCAAATAAATAATTAAAAGCAGTATAGTAATCAGCCAATCAGAAACTCTACATGTGACGTTTTACTTTCTTGATGTTTCTGGCTAAACTTCCAGTGAACGCTGATTAGATAAAATGCTTCTTAGTGTTTGCTGAGCCTTTCTTGTGTTTTAAAAGATAAGTTTTCTGGATCACCCCAACAGAAATTACTATAATATCCACCAAAAAACCCTTCTCATAAATAAAAAACACAATTTATCAAGATCATCAAACTTACAGTATCAGTCGATGATGTTGAGGATGAGAGGTAGAAATATGTGAAAAATGAAGCCAATGGTGAAGAAAGTGAGAAAGCAATCATGTGTAAACGAATTCGATCACGTGTAAATCCTTCATGTAATAGAAAGCATGATAAACCGAAAGCTGCTGGTATCTTAAAAAAAGAAATGGTACTGATTAAAATCAGGGTCAATTTATATTTATTTTTCTAAATACAATAAAATCACGTACTTACTGTATAACTAACTAACTTTAATATAGACAGTTTAAGAAACCGTGTAAAATCTCTAACCATTGTAAAAACAGTACAGTAGGAAGCTGAGTACACAACATAAAACTCACACTTTGAATATGAGTAAATTTTTCTATCTAAACATAAAAATTTGGCACAACGAGGCACCAAAGAGATAAGCACCACCCTTCGTCATCCAAACTGTGTGAGGGCTGGGATACTCCACAGGCGCCCACATACCGAGCCTTCGACCAAAAAGGTCTAATTCACAAGCTAGTGGGGCAAAGTAAGGACATGCAATCCCATGATAGCCGGTGATCAATAATAGGTTCATACGCATTTTGCTCCCTCATGATTCTGGAGCCCATGTAAACCATTAATTTGGAATCAAGGTTTTCCAGTTCCCTTAGATGGATCCTGCATACCCACCAACCCAGTTAAAGCGTCGGAAATACGCTTTTCGTCCTCTCGATTTCGTAAATAACAGGGCCATCGTGAGAAGGCAGTGAGTAGAGCTTGCCTGACAGTGGCTGTATACGTGTGTCCATGTGAGAACATTTCGACAGAGGTGACTCTCCCTACGCTCGACCGTACCAGGACATTTGAGGGCTAATGGATATTATTTATGAAAATAAAAATACCCAACACAATTAACTGGACGGATTAGTTTATTGAACTGTCCATAATAACACGCACAGATAAATTAGACTGCATTAATTATTACAGAGAACAACGTTATAAAAAAAGGAACTCTTACCAAACGTTCCAAAGCTTATCTAATTAGAACATTATATATACATATATTCTCCTTTAAGCATCATCGATGAACAAGGAGAATCGGATGCAGGTGTAAAGGAGAGGATTGGGAAAAGAAGGACCGCGTTTCCACAATTGAACAAACAAAATATGTAACTCAAAACAACTATCTGTCAACCAATATCAAAGCCACAATCTTCAATACGAACTTCAAGATAGTCATTTCTACTATAAGGAGCTGAAACTTCTACAAATACCACAACCATCATCAATAAGGTACAAGTATTTCTCAACAGTTGTCTACGTAAGATATTAAATATTCATTGACCAGATACCATTACAACAGCCTATGGGAGAGGACAAACAAGCTTCCAGCTGAAAAGAAAATCAGGAAAAGACGTTGGAAGTGGATAGGACATACATTACAGAAATTACCTAATGGTATCACGAGGTAATCCCTAACATGAAATATTGAATAGAAATAGAAAAGAGGAAGGTCAAGGAATACACTATGTCGGGGATCAGAAGCAGATATGAAAAGGATGAGTAAGAACTGAAAAGGATTGCCCAGAACAATGTTGAATGAAAAGTGCTAGTGGGCGGTCTGTGCTCCTCTACGAGGGTTAGTCAGTCAGTCAGTCAACTAAAACATAGGACCAGGCACATACATTTATTTATTCATTTATCTGAACACATAAATATTGGTACAAGAGGTCACCAAATATAAATGCGCCACACATATATTCATCGCTCCAAGTTGCCATACCTCATTAGCACAGCAAGATAAACACTGGATTCATAGAAGTAAAGTCAATGGTGGTAATATATAAAAGAAAGATTAAATATAAGGATATAGTGCAGGAAGAAAGATTTCGTACGTAGAAAGAAAGATATGAAGTGATTTTAATCTCTTAGTTTAAGGGAAGACAGAGAGTGTATACATCGACCCCATTGTGATCGATTCTGAGCCATGTCACCCACAGTCTCCGACCACTGGTTACGATAGTCACACGGACCCCAACCAAATAGTCTGCATCTACTAACATGGCTAAGACTAGAAGTTGGTGAAATTATAGACTGATGCCACGTTTTGGTTTGGCGGCCCCTATTTTTCTTCCAACCATCCCCAACACTATTCAGCATTGCGCTTCGTGGTAATTGGTGTTCAGACATATGTAACACATGGCCCAACCATCTCAGTCTATGAAGATTCACAACTTCATCAACATATATACAAGTAAAATCGATTTAGGAAAAGAAGCATTTAAAATATTTCATGTATTTTAGACTACAACCAAGCATATGTTGATGAATCAATCTATTATTTTTTATTATCAAAACTAATTCATCATTATCGATGTAGGAAAACAACTTATTACGGTCTTCAGCATTGCGCTTCGTGATAATCGGTGTTCAGGCATACGTAGCACGTGGCCCAACCATCTCAGTCGATGAAGATAGCAACAACGGTCGAGCCTTCTACGAGGGTTAACAGGTGTGAGCAATATTTTCTTTTGTAATTAATAATATTATGCCCTACAATTCGATTCACTGACTAAACAGTCATATAATCATTAATAAATATAGATAGAACAATGAGAACATCAAGTTGATCTTATTGTTCTATCTAAATTTATAGAAGGGATTTATTGCTTTTGCATGAATAAATAATCAACAAAAATAAATGATTAAATACTTGAATACATAAACAAAAATGATCTTACTTTATGTAAAATAATAGCTAAAAATAAAATCAATTCCAATTGTAATTGATTTAATGCAAATGCTGAACCAATTGCTAATCCATCCGCTAATGAATGTATCACTAAGCCACATGTCACAATAAATCCTTTATGATGAGTTGATTGAATTGAATTAATTGATGAACAATTAGAACCGTTATTATTATTATTTGATGTTTCATTGGATAGATTACTGGTATTATTAGTAGTACAATTCATAATGTTATTAGAAGTTGTATTAATTGTATTCATTGAGTTATTTATGTTTATATTATTGATATTGGTATTATTATTAAATTTATTCATGAATGGTATATACAACATAGAATGATAACATAATTTTCTTAATCCAAATAACGTAGTTTGACAACAAGTCAATTGCAATATTATATAACTCATTTGATCAACTAATAACATGAATAAATAACCTAATAATAATGCAATACCAACTTTTTGATGAATATAACTACTATTATTATTATTATTATTATTATTATTATTATTATCATTATTATCATTACGAGAATGATGATGATATCCATTTGAAGCATGATTATTTTCATTGCCAATACTATTTTGTTGTTTCATTGGATCATTGTCTTTATTTATTACGGATGGAAGATTTTTTTCATTTGTTGATTCTATTGTATCTATCATATTCAATCTCTACAAAATAAAATGAAAACAGTCATATAAAGTAATGTAATCAATGGAAGACTAATAAAGAGAGAAATGAAGGAAGATAACATTATAAAGATATCTTCTAATAAGGGCGCGGTTTCAAAGAGTGTACACTAAATGGATGATTTCATAGTATATTAAATCAAAAATTAGCATCAAAATAGTACAAGTATTTATAAACAATTGTCTATTCAAGATAGTGAATGTTTGTTAGTCGGATACCATCAGGAAGTCTACTGTGGGAGAGAACAAACCAGCTTCGAACTGAATGGATAATATGAAGAGACACTGAAAGTGGATAAAACATGCATCGCGGAAACCATCAAACTGCATTACATGGTAATCTCTAACTTGGAATCGTTAACGGAAAAGGAATTGAAGAAGACTAAAGAACACATTGAGTCGGGAAATGGAGATAAGCATCGAAAAGATGAATAGCACTTGGAAACAACTAGAAAGGACTCCGCAAGACAAAGTTCGTGGAGAATGCTGGTGAGCGGCCTATGCTTCTTCACGAAGGATGACAGGCGTAAGTAACCATTAATGTAGATTTATTAGTTTAGAAACTAACAGGAACTCATTACACCAAAGAATATTGCTTACACAAATGATAAAGCTAAATAATTTCAGAATAGTAAGTCCTTTTTTAAGAATTTATTTGGAAATAACTATCTCAAGTGAAAACCACAATTTATCAAACCTTGAATTAACTAACACATAACAAGAGCTGACTGATGCTTCGTACTAGTCACGAGCAATAATTTTCGGTGGTTCAAAGGTTATTGAAAGGCTTTCTTACCTTTTCATAGTTTGGAAAGTCCTCATATAAGAAGTTCAAATTTCTTAAGACACCTGAGATATGATCGAAATGCTTTTTTTGAAGATCGTTTTAATTCTCGATTGATTTGTACCTTCACAAGTCAAATTAGTATTCTTGATCTATCACATTTTTTTCTATAGAAATTACATAAATTTGTTTGATTTCCATTAAATTAGTTGTATAATTCGATCATTTAATTTGAATTATAACTTGACAGGAATAAGTTTTTTTCTATACTTTGAATAGCCCTTAAAATTCATTCGGGTAAATGAGGTGGGTGCATGAGCGAATATATAAATTTTTTATTGCCATCATAGTTGGATAGAATACTGTCAATAGATCGACCCTTCTAGTTTAATCTGTGGTAGCCCCAAACTGTACAACTTAAGCCGTTACACCTAAAGAGGTAGGGTACCGTTGTGCACAATCAAAGAATAAATCAAGTCTTTAATACGTAGTCTAGCAGTCTAGCATTTGATTCGTATCCATTACATCATGGCATTAGACCTTAGTCAACTAATTTCAAGTTGAAATACAAGATAGAACTACCAGTTACCATATAAGAAGTGAATTGAGTTTATCATGTAAAAGAGATTAAGAAACTGAGCAAGAAGTTATATTACACATAAAACTTACTTATGAATAAAAAAAGATTTTCTCAGAACTTACACGTGAATTAGGCAGATTTAAGTGGTTATCTTTATTCGAAATAAGGTTTGAATGTTGATGTTTATGTGAGCTGCAAATGACTGCAATGCCTTCAGGAATGACCACAACTAATGCAGCGCCCAAAAGTAGACCAGCACCAAAAACAGTTAGTATACGAATTTTCGACTATAATTAAGTTAGATATACATAACTTCAAGTTAACAAACAGTAACTGACTCTTTTGAGATGTAATAAATAGTACAAAACTCAGAGCATACATTAAAGATCATAAAATATGCATGTAACGAACTACAATTGAATGTAAAGGGAATAAATTTTACCGTAATCGTACAGTAATTACTCGAAAAAAATAACTTACCTGTGGATTAATTCAAGAATATATATAAAAAATTCTAGTCAGATGACGGAGAATTTATACCCACTTTAGAATATGGTTGGAAAAACCAACCTTAAAATGTGTAGTAACCATAAAGTTATAGGTCCTCTACCAACTACGCTTTGAATATGATCCGATAATAACACTTTGCGCAGATTATGAAAAATCTGTGAACGACGAACACACAAGACGTAGGCTGGTTTCTGTTCGTATAGTACATCCACATGCTCACTTGCTATGAATTATTTGAATGTTCTCACCTGCACTACATGTCAAAAAACCCGAAATCACAACTGAATTTAATGCGCTGGACAGGACCATGTTTTCCAATTATTTGTTAAACAAGGGATTTGGATAGAGTTCACTGAAATTTACAAAGCCCTTCACAAAAACACCTTTGGTAACATGGTAGCATAAAATTGTCCATTTTATCACGCCTAATCAGTAATAGGGATATGTACGGTTTTTTAGCCTCCCTAATCCCTTATAAATTCTCCATCAGTAAAATTCCGTAAGCACCTGATAATATCTTTTAAGTATGGAAATAATTCTCCACTTTAGCCAGAAAAGCGCTACTATTTTGGTGTACAACCTGTTGACAAAATCCAAATAATTACATCGTGTCAGAGCAAAGGCCGACCCGCACCTCTTTGTGGTACCTTGGCATTGGTGAACCCCATTTATGAGTTGATACAAGCGGTTGAGTAGAGATCGGGCCAATCACTCACTTTGACTTTAACTCTGATTAACAGAAAGAACGTTCCTTTGTATGGATAAGCGGAAAAGTAGTACTAGAGAAAAATTTCTTCTAGACGCTTGACCGGATTCATTCTAGAAAGGTCCATCAGGTGTAGTAACAGCTGACTACAGCGAAAATTATAAACTGTGCCGTAACCAGTGTGTAGAGGTCGAGACTAAACTTTCTTGTGGTATGAGCGTGATGAAAACATATCATCAAATGACGACTTACAACCCAAATGATTTGATTACTTTTTCTTTCTTTAGTGCTGTTGAAACCGGTGGGTGAATCGCATCTATAACTATGTATATATTGAGTGTATAGGCATCGGTCTATGTATTATATATGCATGTAATGTATACTATGATCACACGCATCAATGTCTATATGTGTACTGTAGTTTGTATGCCTTTAATGTGTGTATTCTGCATTGGTACCACGTCCCATACTGGTGTATTCGCTAGTTTTAAACGCTTTTGGGTCGTTGCAAGGTTCCAAAATGTGATAGGAAAGTCTAAGTTGTTAACGTATCTGTCTGCGCTACATAATTCGAAGTCCTTGCACAAAATATAACAAAAGTAAACTATAAATGTGTTTGTTTAATTTGCTTTCTCTAGTACTTTAGTCGCGCACTCAGTAAATGCTTTTTCCTATCCCAAAACGGTGCACTAGCTTCTACTTAATTGGGTGGTATAACTAACTGACTTAACTTTATATCACGGAAATGTAAATTAATTTTACAAGACTGGGAAGTGCATGGACTCAGTGTAGAGAAGTAATGTAAATGGATGACAACTGTCTAAATATCTGTACGGATTCTGGTGATGTAAAAACCAACATTAACTAATAAACGACAAAAATCAAGTTACATTCGACGATTCACTCACATAAGACTGGTCACAAAATGCCATGTACGCCACTCTTATTCGAAGGGTTTTGTCCCGTCCTTAACCCTGACTCTTAGACATGTTTGACTTTAGATTCTAGTCCTAAATCTTCACAATGATCCATGGCTTTCTTTTAAACCTAAGTAGTGTGTATGTACTTTCAGGGTCATTTAAGCGTTGCTCAAAGATTGTCCATAGACTAGATTCACCTAAGTGCTTTTAACATACGTAAGAAACTGCACAATAATAAGCACAAAAACTTACTACAGGTATTCTGAAAGATATAGGTACGCATCCAGCTATATAGCAACCAATAAACAGGAGTATATTTAGAAAGACAAGATAAAGCATTCGTAAGATAAAAGTGACGCGGACGCCAAATATTGCGACAGCAGTTAAACATCCGATATCCAGAGTGACAAAACAATTTTATGACCTTTATGACGCAAATAAAATAAATGATTTTTTTCGGCTTCGTAGTACTATGTATGCGGGGAAACGTAGGACAAGTGTATAATACATTCCTTGTCCCTTAAAATTAAATAGGCGGTTTCCGCTAGGTAATCTTCTGGATTTACTGATAACAGGTTGTTAATGACACCATGCGAAACCCCATTTGTATAAAAAACATTTAGAACTCTTGTAAATAAATGTTGGATGCTGTTTTTTTAATTTCTTTTAAAAGACTTGAATTTACGTCTAGTTTTTCAGGTGTAAAGGATCTTCAGAGTTTGATTATTCTTATGGAGTTGAAAATATGTCTGCAACTAAACTTACTGTGTCGTACTTATGGATCGTTCATATTTACTTTGGACTAGGGTCAAGACTGGATATAAGTAAATCAGTAAAGGTAAACAAACTTTCGAAATAAGTTGTTCTTCAAATGTTTGGCATCGACAATGACCTCAGTTGTTTCACTGGAAACATCTTAACCGGCTATGCATCAAATCGCGATTAGGTACCTCGAGCTACGCATCCTTCGTAACGACTAGCCTGCTTAGACAAACTGAGAACCAGCCAGAGATTCCATCAATTCCTTGAAGAAGGTCAGAAGAATCATGGTCTATTTTGGTATTAGTACATTCATCTTTGCTACTATATCGGCAGACCTAATCCCGAAATTAAAGATTTGTCATAATGTGACCACCTAATCTATGGGGTCTTACATTGAAACCACATCATTGTTTATGCTTAGTCGTCTTATATTGACAATCAACGACAAAATATCAAGCAGTTCTGAAGAACATATTTTAGCTTGGGATGGAACAATATGTTTAATGTGAATAGAAATTATTTACACAAAATGAACACTTCTGAAAGCCCAAGCCATTCCATACCGACTGTTTTCATCTACACCAAGTTTTGCCTTCTGTAAGTGATACATTGTAGGGCCAGTGAAATTCCACTGAGCCCTAGCCAAATAATCCGACAGTTGGGTCATTGAATATCGAACAAATCATCGATCCTCGTCAATGTCAAGGGAAACCAACGCGCATCAGTTAGCCGTACGCCATGGACCGGCCCATGCGGCAGTGATCTTACCTTCGCTTGTATTTACTTTATTTAATATATTTCTGTAATAACGTCCTCTGTGTTGTACAGTCTTCAAAGCATCTATAGTACCTTGATACGTCAATAGGTAATCCACATAAGGTGCTGACAGCGAAGTGTGACTTCGACGTTAGCTAGTTTGTCACACCACTCACGTCTAACTCGAGTAACCCTCGAATCATTTCGAAATAGATCATCTGCGTTAGTGATCTACAACATGTTGAATGTAAATCTTCTGAGTAATTAAATATTCAGCTTCAAAGATCGTTGAGTTAAGAACCAATACTACTACTGATTAGTTAATAAAAATACATCATGTAGCATTGGTAAATGACCTGGATGGATTGCGTGGTACATGTAAGTAATCCAAACGACGAAATAGAGAGGAGTTGATCTCACTATGTAGTGTAGTTTTTTTGTTTTGGCCATTAAAGTTTATCCGATGGACATCATCACAGTGAAAGCGTAAACGACTGTTATTACGCTTGTAGTGACATTGGGCCCTAACAACACAATCATAAATTTAAATACGAAACATTTGGGAAAATAGATATTTAAAGTTTAACACGGAGAAAAACCCAACGATGAGAAAGGCGGAAACAATGAAGTGATGATTGTTACGACACCATGAGTTGGTGTAGACAATGATGTGATTTACACGTAAGATCTCATAGATTAGGCAGTTACGTCATGACAAATCTACAATTTTGGGATCAAGTCTATTGTTAGAGTAGTACTAATAAAGAAGTAGGCTATAATTCTACACGCTCACTTGTCTTTCAACTAAAGTTTGGCGATTGCCAAGCCACGTTTCGTTTGCGATATGGTGTCATCAGAAACATGACGGTGCACAACCACGCACTCAAACAAATGTCTGACGGAAGTTTCAGTTGTCGGGAGTTATTTGCTGAGAATTGGATACCCCCACCAATGTCTTTATTCCGCAAACCAGCAGTTTAAGGTTACCATAATTTGTAACAGACTATAAATTTCAGCTTTTATCCATCAAAAATACATTTTCGGATAACTTTCACGGACTTTTATGGCTGCAATTAAACGCAACTCAATTTCGAAAATGTGCCCTTCAGCTTAAAGACCAATCAGAATGAGGCGGGAATCATTATATCCGCCATCTTTGTAAGCAATGGAGGTCGGCTTTCTTTGTTCTGTGCTTCTTTCAGCTATTTCTTTTGTGTAGCTGTGTAATTTAATGTTTCGGTGTGCTGAAATGCCGCAGTTGGTGTAATGTCGGTGTAAAATTTATTTCGAATCAGCGATTTTTTCTGGGGTTTTGCTGCTTCTACTCAAGTCAATGTATTTCTTCAGGCAAACTGGCTAGTCTTGTGTTATTAAATGTTAATGCGTTTTGTTCTGAGTTCTTTTTTGCAGATATCGGGAACCAAGATTAGTTTCGTTAGCTTAAATAAGTGTTGCGGCTGTATGGAACTCGAAATGTCCGCATAATCGTTCCTAACTGGCAGGTAAGCTCGTTTTTCTTATGTCATAAAAGCTTAATTCGTTATATTTTGAGCATTGTTTTTTAGATATGGAGAACAGAAGTTAGTTTTTTTAGCTAAAATAATTTTTGCTGCCGCATGTGACCGTAACTAGCCGCATATTCGTTCCTAACCGTTATTTATTGGTATCAGGCAGATTACTGCGGGCATGGAGTCCCAGTATGTTTGCTTGGACCAAGGAAGAGAAGAAGGTTGGTGTGGTATGGATACTGGATGTACATCAAGAATAGCCAGTCACTCTTTGTGTTCTTCGTAGACGGTCATCAATGTCCGGTAGTGGATATAAGCAAACACACCAACTGAAATAGTTTACAACTAAAGACAATTAGTACGCAGGAAAATTTTACTTACTTTCCCCCTGTTCGTGTTGTATGTTGTATCCAAACACACAACTTCAGGGAACCGTTTATACGTTACAATTTGCTCGTGTGTGCTAAATGCTTTCTTTGCGACCTGGTTAGCCACACCCCAATAAGAGACGAACAGTTTTCCATAGTTCCGCAAAGTTGCAATTACATCGTTTAAACTTCCACAACTTAAAAAACCGTAGATATATGGGATAAGCTTACGTTCGACAAATTTATATTTTAAATTATTGACATAATGCATTGTTATTGTCTTTTCAGAATTTTCTTCTGCATACTTAGCAATAGATTCAGCACTACTTCCAGTCTTAACCATCGGTAGAACGACCTTCAACTGATCTTCACTTAGTCTTCTGAACCAACGATCATTTTTCAAGCACTTTTAATCACAAGGATGGTTATGTATCATCCTCGACGACGATATGACGAACCGGTTCTCAGCATACCGTAAACAAAACATGGCCTTGCAACCACGAAACTTTGACCTATGAAAATTGAAAACAATAATAATAATAATATATTTCTGCATGAGCAGGTACACGCCATTTTTACAGGAATGATCTACAAATTATAACATTTGTTGGAGCATAGCATGCTTCCCAACTTATTAAGTTTATAGTTGTTATAAAGTAGTCTCGTAGAGCGCTTGTTATAAACCATGGCCTTGAGTTGACGCTTACGTCAAGTTTGTTCCAGACGTTAGAAGTTTCATAGCTGTGCCCTCGGAGCAAGATTCTGAAGAAAATAAAAAAGAGAAACAGCAGAGCAACAAGGCACTTGGATATGGACTCCAAACGTTGCTTAACATTTTTCAAGCACTTTTAATCACAAGGATGGTTATGTATCATCCTCGACGACGATATGACGAACCGGTTCTCAGCATACCGTAAACAAAACATGGCCTTGCAACCACGAAACTTTGACCTATGAAAATTGAAAACAATAATAATAATCACTTACCCTTTTATTCCCTGACCATAGCCTTCTGGCTTCTTTTTATGGCCAAAAGAACATACATACACTACATACTCATAGCGAATTTCCAACTTTTCTTTGTTCAGCCTGCTTTCACGTACAACATGAGTCCAAGTCATCTATTACTTTTTAGATGGTGTATTATCAGTAACAAATCTTTTGCAACAGATCGATAGCTTCTCTGACTTGATCCCAGCTTGTCAGGAGCCTGGGTCTCATAATCACTTCCAAGACATCACTGGTATCCACAGCCACTAGACACTCAGTATTAGTTTGACTGGTTGATGGAGTAGCGTGATCCATAATACTGCAGAAAATAACAGCTATTCCGTCTCTAGATCAAAATAAAACGAACAGACTTTATCGCACTCTACGCAGTAAAATCCACACACTCAGTACAATTTTCGGACAGACGACAGTGCAGGACACACTAAAGCAATTGATAGATCAAGTTGATGAATTAATACGCATGAGGCGTCTGGCTACAGTTTCCGAACATGGTCAGTCCACTGGTTCTTTGGAAACCAAAATCCAAATATTTATAAATGCATCTATCAAGCTAATACTCGTACTCTCTATTTCAGATAATCAATGAACACAAATCACGTCATGTGCGTCTGCTGCGTTGCCAGTTTTTGTTAATACCTCATTAAATAAAAGTCTTGTATTTGCTAAATACAGAGTTTCTTGTTATATTTGGTATAAGGGGGTGAAAACATTGAATGGGCCTGTAGTTGTGTTTTGACGAACGCGTACCATCACGATACTGGTGACCAGTCAGTGTAGCTAAGGTATTGATTGGAAATCCGACGCCTTCCCAATAAACAACTATGGCTTAAACGCATACCCATCAACGTACTACTACAACACATCATGGCGGCTAAAATAAGTTATAAGAAGTCCTGGACCTAGGGGTTTCTCGTTGCTTGCTTATCATATGGTATTTCAATCAGAAACTAAGATTACAGGCAGGGAATGTTGGGATGTGTAACTGTGTCAACTGTCTTAACTTGAAATTACTACATATCAACTAGGTGCTGAGAGGCTCGCGTTTCACCAGTTTCTTACAACGATTAACTAGACAAAACGAAATATCATTAAGTCTATAGATTTATTC